AACAAATAAGCTAAACTGAGGTCCTCCATCCATATTTTCAGTTACAGGCTGAGTCATTTCTACCTTCTCTCTGTCAACGCTCTCTGGTTTCATTTTAAAGAGCCAATCATCAGATATTGTCCAAGATTAACCTTCAGGGTGGATATAGCTCGCTAGCAGCCTCGCACCGAGGACCTATCCACATCATCATTTACCCAGAATGCTTTGTGTGTAAATAAAATGGCCCCGTCCGTGTTAAAATATATATTTAAAAATTTGCTAAACTGAACATCCTACAGTATTTTTACAGTCTTTATTTTACAGTTAAAATAAATGTTTATCAAATAAAGTCTAATGTTACAACTAACCATGGGTCACTTTAAGTGTATGAATCCTGTTGATGATTTTACTAAATGCTCCAGTTTGTGTTGTAGTTGGTGTCTCCCACAGATCTGACACGGTTTGCTTTATTTTATTCCAGTTTTGACGGTCCGGTTCCTGACCTGCGGGTCGTGAAGCAGCTGTCCTTCCAGAGCGGAGACGTCCCCGTCGTCTTTGCCGTCGTGGACCACGGGGACATTTCCTTCTACACCTTTAAAGACTTCCAGTTGCCGCGGGACATTTACCCCTGAGAAGAGTTTTGATTTCTGACTGCTGGATGATTATTTATTGTTTTTATTTGAAGAAGAAGAAGAGACAGTTCTGTTCTGGTGCCAAAGCTTTGATTTTAGAATGTTTGCTGGGTTCAGTTATTCAACAGTTTTAAAGACATGAGTTCATCTCTTTGCTTTGTTATTGTCTCATTAAATTGACTTTAAATCGTTGTTATATTTGAATTGTCTTATTTTTGCAAAACAAACCAAAAAACGCTTTGTGTTCAGGATTCTTTAAAATAAAGGTCGTTCAGAAGAAGAAATGTATCTGTTGTGTTTACAACTTTAAAGCTGATCTCTGTAAGTGAATTTAAATATTTCTGAATATAAAAAAAACAAACTCCACACTGTTGGTTTTGATGATCACAGGGAACATGAGCTCAGTGTTCAAAGAGACTCATTTGACTTTTTCCRGCAGCTGCTGATCAACCATTGAAATGTTGGGCTTGTTGGTTCATGGCTGCAGAACATGAGAACAAAAACGTGTTTACATTTCTGAYTCCGATCTGTCCTCGTCTCGTTTGCAGCTTTAGGTTCTCAGATTTAGCTGGAGGCAAACAAGCATGGCCGCGTTAAAGACGCTAACMTTTCTGACTTTGATTGGTTAGTTTGTGAATTTTATTATAAATTAATAAAAGGTGTTTTTTTTTCCCTTAAAGGGATCCCCGATTAGTTGAAACATTAGACTTTATTTGATAAACATTTATTTTAACGGCAAAATAAAGACTGTAAAAATACTGTAGGCTGTTTAGTTTTGTAAAATTTTAAAAATATATTTTAACATGGACGGAGCCATTTTATTTACAGGCAAAGCATTCTGGGTAAATGATGACGTGGATAGGTCCTCGGTGCGAGGCTGCTAGCGAGCTATATCCACCCTGAAGGTTAATCTTGGACAATATCTGATGATCGACTCTTTTAAATGAAACCAGAGAGCGTTGACAGAGAGGAGAAGGTAGAAATGACTCAGCCTGGAACTGAAAATATGGATGGAGGACAACAGAGCTGCTTCATGGAAGAAGAACCTCAGCTTAGCCTGTTAGCCTTTGCGCTAGCGCTGATGCTATATTGCCTTATATGTATTAGCTCAGCGCTAGCACGACAAACAAGCTAAACTGAGGTCCTCCATCCGTATTTTCAGTCATTTTTGTGTTCCCCTCTCTGTCATGTGGATGGAGGACCTCAGTGACGGACTGCAAGTGACGAAACTGCAAACATGACCTAATCTGCAAATAGTTTGTGATTTTATATGTTTGCTAAATTGCATGCTGATTTATGAATCAGATTTCTAATATCTAAATATTAGAAGTTAAACATTCTTTTCTAACATTCTGCCGCACTCCTACTTTCCACYAACCTTGCTTATATGGAGAAAATTTGTATTTCTAACAAGAAATTGTTAAAATATAATGTAGTCTATATTTTGTGTAGCTCTTAATGTTTATGAAAACGAAAGTGAAAACATTACAAAGTCCTGATAGTCTCGTCTTTATCAGCTGTAAGGAWAAAGATTGATTAAATTAGAAACAATATTTTCAAGCAATAATTTGTTTATTGTTTTGATATATTTGTTACAGCTGGAAATAATTGAACAAAAATATAGAATTTAATAGAAGGTGAGGAGAAACATACAGTTTAAAGGGATACTTTCATGTTTTAAAATTAGAAATAAAAAGCTCATTTTCAATTCAAAGCGTGCTCTGACAGAATAAAGACAGTAATCTGGTGTAAAACTACGGTAAATTCCACACGATGAACAAGCACACCTGAGAAAGCACCACAGTAACGAGATACAACACAAAGAAGACGGCATCAATGACCGTAGCCAGTTTTCTGCAGAATCCAGCTTTTTTCCCTCTTTTTTTCTGCCGTTCAGCTTCCAGTTGAGCAGCTTTTAATTTGTCCTGGATTAGCTTCAGCAGGTCGTGGTCACCGAGCTCCTCCAGGGGGAAGTGGCTCTTGTCCGCTTGATCTTTCTCTTCAGCTCCAGCAGGTTCTTGGTGTAAAAAGACAGAAAAAAAATTGTTACGATGTCCCAAAACTCTGAAAGAAATTAGAAACCTGAGGGGTATTAGGTCCACAATATGGTTTTAATCTGCTTRAACCAGCTTCTCTGTTCCTGCTMAAGACAAGCATGCCCACYGCATGATGCCSCCGCCACCATGTTTCATGATAAGGATGGTGCGTTCTGTTAGTTTTCTGCTACAAAATGTGGAAAAAGTTCGAGTTCTGAAAGCGTACCTTTGTGAGGAGCTTGCTGAATTTGAACTTTGACTTCTGAGTTTGGATCATCCTCACCGTGAGAACTGTGGAGGTTCATTAAGAACCTGACCAACATGGCCTCCAGGACACTGATCCACACCAGGGAGAAAACCACAACACAGTAGATGGCTAGAGGAAAAACGACACAGAGAGGTTACGGGGCAACTGACAGAGAAGATCTTCACCCGCTWCGGATGTTATCATCCATTTACACATTCATTGTCATTGATACATTAACCCACTAGGGGGCACTGTCGGGACAGTCTGAAGCCTAGAAGGCACAGTAGGGACCCTCTGAAGTCATTGTATGGGACTGATAARGCCTAATAARGTCCATTTCATGGARTGWTAACATCAGAATCCCCTGAGATCTTGGACCTGACTGAGCTGCCTACCCATCACCGGCAGGTTGTCTTCAGTCGATGGGAGGATGTCTTTAAGAATCAGCAGTAAAACAAAGATGGACAGAAGGATCGTCACTTTGAAGCCCAGCTTCTCCCCACTGTCCTCGCTGATGAAGAACGAGGCCAAATCCAGCACCAGCAGGAACAGCAGAGGCATTATTAGATTAATGACATAAAGAAACGGTTTCCTCTGCAGGGTAACCTGGTCAAACATAAAATAAACAAATAACTGCATGCTGAACATTTGTTACAGAACTTRCTGCACAAATATCTTCTTACCGTGTACACTAGTTTGCTACTGGAGCTGTTTTCAGTTAAATARTGGATGGTGTCCATCTTTTCCAGTTTCCATTCTCCCTGAGTCATCATGATCTCGTTCGATATTCTGGCGAGATACGAGTCATTGCTGGACGATTGTATTTTGATATATTTCTCTGTGCAGAGAGTGGAAATCAGATAATTAAAGAAGTTGACAAACTCATATTTTTCAAACAATTTCTATTAGCTTTGAATGCTGATTTTTTTTATAGTGGTTTGCCATTTTCCTAAAGCTCAAATATTTCCTAAATGTAAAGTAAAACTCCTAACAGCATCTAATCAATGAGTCCATCTGCTGATGTTATTTCTGCTGTCACATTTATATATACAGGATGTAGCATAACCAGAGTTGTGTAAAATACCACAAAGTGCTACTTGAGTACAAGTATCTTACCAAAAAATTACTTTGGTAAAAGTTAAAGTCTCCTGAATATTATTTGAATATTTTTTGTACTTATTAAAAGTAAAAGTATTGATTTAAAATGAGCAGTTAGATTTTCTGTAATGACATTTATTAGTAAAAAAATGCAGAAATGATTGTATCATATTAAATGAAATAATTTATGTTAAATTTAGGATGCACTAGTCTGTTTCAGTTTATATACATATATCAAGGCTGCACAAACATTTTCTCCAAAATGAAAATCTGAGGGCTGCGGCCAAATGTAATAATATAATCATGAAATACAAATACTTCTGAAGTGCAGTCCTTTTATTTTAATGATTATGTCC